CAAACTTAGAACCTCTAAGTACAACACACTAATCAGGGATAGATTTAGAGGGTGATGGGAGGGTGCGAGCGTCCCCCAAAAAAATTCAAATTCATATATATTTTAGATATTTTCTTTTTATTTTCTGTTGAAAATATACTTTCACTTCTTAAAACTTTATAAGTTCGTCTCCCCCTTAAAAATTTATAAATTCACCACCTCTAATATAAAACTCTACGTCCGTTTTTTACACTAATTTATTAATATATAATAGAAATTTGATAATTTTAGTAATTTGTTGTAGTTCAAATTTATTAATTTAGGTAAAAAATCGTTATTAATGATCATATCTCATTATACATCAACATTAATTATATAACATTTATTTTTTTATTTGATATATTACAACATTCAATCTATCATCTCCTAATTTTAAGCATACTTAATTTATTAATTAGATAATAAAAATATTTAATTTTAACTATAAAACATTTTAAGAAATCGAACATTATCTAAATATATATATAAATTGTCCGACTCCTTCCTACTCGTAGATGCGTTCTCTTTTGAATCTAACCTTTCCCCCACAAAGCCTTTTATTTCAAATTAACTTTTTATCCGACGTGTTCAAATTAGCTTCTTATCCGTAGTCACTGGTGCTCAAACTTGAAACATATAAAGATCATAATCATTCCTTTATTCATTGAGGTAATTTGATTCGAGCAAACATATTTAAATTTAAAATAACACCTTATTGTTTGATGATATAAATAGGGTAAAAAGCAACTCGAAATCTACATCATTAATTACTTCTTAACAATTAAGACCTGTTCTTTTACCAACAATAATTGCAAGTTTGCATGGGAATTCCACATTCAACTCTTTATTTTTTAATTTTTGCGTTTCTATTATTTTAATTTGAATTATTCAAATATTAGGTTATTCAATATGATATTAATATTTTATTATTTTTTAGGGTAATAACTAAGACATTTAAGATGCTAAAGTATTATAATGGGTGGAGGTTGGAGATACTAATAGCAATGCAATATTTTGTGATCTCTTTACTATCGAGTGGGAGATAAGTTAAAATAACACATTATTTAGATTGTGATGATGGTGGACAATTTATTTCTTCTGATTTAAATGGAGAGTCATAATCAATAAATATCATTTTGTTTTTGATATCTAATGAATATGAGAGATAAATAGAGTCTCTACCCTTTTAGTTGTTTGATTAGAGGCGTTTACCACACTACAAGGTACGATATAAACAAAAGAAAAATGTTTGTGCCTATATGGAGCTTACCCATGTAGCTATCATGGATATGCCTCCTATTGGTGTAGGTCGAGTGACTATTGTTGACTCAACGTAAATAATTAATTTGTATTATTTTTATCCATGTCAAAGAGTTTTTACGACGAGAGTAAATATATCTTCTTGAAAGACCATAAATATATCTTCTTGAAAGCCCATAACCACCTTTTAGGTGACCACCATCATTAGTTTCATATATGCTTTCGTAAATCTAATGTTGTATTTTATTTTTGATGATTTGTATTTTATTCTCGTTTGTTATAAATTAGTTAAATGAGAAATACCAAAATTTAAAGGACTAATAACTAAGTAACACGTTTAACTTTTTTTCTTCTTTTTTTTACACGCAATTTTGAAAATAGTAATCATTCAAATACTTTACCCAAGATTTAGATATAAAATGAAATGAAAAGGGTTGCCATGGATTTTCGCAAAGCTTGCATGCAAAAAGAGAATATTTGTAGCCATAGTTGTTGGGTTGGGAATGGGATCAATGCTTTCGTGCGCATGATTGCCATGTGGCACATAGTTCTACTACAACTTGTGTTTTATATATTAGCCATAAAACTGCTCAAAAGTTGGTGCACCACCAAACATTTACATGCATCCCATGACTTCAATAATATATATATATATATATATATATATATATATATATATACATAGTTATATAAAATCATTTAAATTAGAAACAATTAGTAACATAGCATTATTAATATTTAAAATTAAATTTAAATATAAATAAAAATAACTCGACACGACTCGACCTGAAATTTTTCAAATAAAGTTTAAATTATAAAATAAGATTCTATCAAAAAAAATTATAAAATAAGATTCATCAATTCGACTAACTCAAAGTTTTTTTACTCAACTTAAGTCGAACGAATACCCACTATATCTAGCACAGGTTTTAATAGCATGGGAAGCCTCAAGCCTATTTGTTTTGTTATTGTCCCACTAGCACCGTCAGACGTGCTTTCCTTGATATATGAATGTAGGGTTTTGTCGGTCCAATATAATTTTGGCTCAAAATCCTCATACCGTAAGATTATAAAAACCCTAGCCATAGTTGGATTAAAGGTGAAGCTGGTTGGTGATGAGACGACCATTAACAAATTAAAGAACAATAATACAATGAGTTCATGCATTCACGGATGCAGATATATATATATGCCACATGAACAGTACCTTAAATTACTCCTCAATTTGGCAGCCGACATCAATGAATAAATGATTATGTATTTCCTTTTAAATAGAGATTTTTAATTATTTTATTTATGCTAGTTTGAAAGTTTACTGACGACGCACACACGTATAGTTCCAGCCGACAGTTGCTGATGATTTATCTGACTGGGGATGATATTGTTTTCATGTAGAAAATTTAATTTAATTTTTTATTTTGGAAAGTTATTTTATTTAAATTAATAGTGTTATTATTATTTTTAATTGTATTAGTTTTATTTTAAAAGTTATTAAATTATATTAATTTTAAATTTCAATTATAATTTAACTTAAATATTAATTTTATTAGTAATTTTGCAAGTGTTTAACTCGGTACAGTAAGTATTGTACTCTGCTTATAGGAATCTCAAGTTTGAGTATCTATCCCGGTAAATAGTACGGATAGATGAGTTAGGGTCGGGCCATAAATCTAGTTAAACCACCACTCAATCCAACTTGTTAAATTGAATATTTGAAAAATAATTTTTGAATAGTCTAGGATGGAATAATTAGATGTGTGCAAAAATGATCTGATAACTGATCCGATCGATCTGATACGTTGATTCGATTTGAAATTTTAGATATTCGATCTGTTTTTTTTATTTTTTGATGGTTCGGATTAACATCTGAAAAAAATCAGATAATCAAATCAGATAAATTTCAATTTTGGTTTATATGAAAATTCAAAAAAAAAAAAAAAATTAGCCTTTAGAGTTTAGATGGTCTTTAGTCCAATAAATGAGAAACTCATTAACCCATTAAAACTCTAGCCCAATAAAAATTAGAATATTTAATTAATTATTGTGTCTGAATATATATATATATATATTAGATGTATCGAATAAGTTGCATAAAGTCACAAAATGTAAAATATAAATTAATTTTTCAAATTAAATTATATATTCGGATCCGAATATCCAAAAATTCAGATATTCAAATTTTAGACCGAATACATAAAACTATTTTAACTATCCAAAATTTTGGATATCCAAATTTTCGATTCGGAACAAATACGATATTCAAAATTACACACCCTTAGTAATGATAGATCTATTATATACATGCGAGGAGTTGTGAACCCCCAACCAGATAAATTTTTTACATTAACTTTATATATATAATTTAAATATTTATTGAGTAAATATGAATTATCCCCTTTTGTTTTTTTTAAAAGTTATATTTTGTTTCTCTTGAATTGGAATCCTAGCTTTGTCCCAGCTAGAGTGTTTATAATATAATATATATTTAGAATTTTCTTAATTAATTGACAACGAATACACCCTACAAACGTAACTGCTCAAACTCTGATAAAAATATTCTTTTTCAAAATTGTTTTTATATAAAGAAGTAAGATTTAATTTCATAGCAATCTAAAATTATCATAAGTGAAATAAATGATGTTTTGGACATCATATACAAAGAGTCATGCCCATATGTAGATGACTTGAGATGATACTTAGTCGGTAGGAAAATTGGTTATCAATGGACTATATATTTCTTCAGTTATATTTTTTTTTTCAAAATTTATTTTGGATTGTACAATTTATATTTCTAAACTCTGTTTAGATTATATTATTTGAAAATTTAAATTTGTGAATGCAATTTTTTCAAAACTATAAAATTGGTAAAACAAAATTATATAAATGTATTCCAGGTACATTATAATCCAACCTAATTATATTGAGTATTGACTTGCAAATATTCAGTCTTCACATATTAAAATACTAACTATTTTTTTAACTATCCGAAATACAAGTCCTTCCCCTTGGAATTTGATTATGTGCAGGCCAGGCCTGGACTTTGAAACACCCAAACAAAAGTACATGAAGGACATTTTGCAGTTCAAATACAATGGAAAAGGACCACCAAAATCCCTAGTGGGGGTTGTATCGCACCATTTACTAAATGAAACATTGGACCACTTCCTCTATGTGGGGCTCCTTATCTGACGCTACACAACCACACTGCTTATGCCTTTTAATTATGGCCCATCCTAACTACATTTGTTTCCGCCATTTGTTTTTCTTAACCAAATAGGGTGGTCCCGAGGTCTACTAATGTGTGTCAAGTGTTATGGGGCTTCTTTTTTCTGAGTACAAACTTAGTACTGGATTATCTCCTTAACCTTCCTCGCTGTCTGTCTACCACCAACCATTTCATTTCTGAAAGTGATGTCAACTACTAGATCTTGTACATTTGGAGGGTGTTAATTGGTTTCCATTATTAGGTTTATTTTTTTATAACATTAAAATTTTAAAAATTATTACATGGCACCTCAATCAGCCCACTATACAAGGTAGCAGACTATAACAATGTTTAATTGAAACAAAATAGGCCTAGGACAGAGGCCCTGGTTTGAAAGTAAACATATTGATGATTTTTATGACCATTATCCTGATATAGAAAATGTTTAACCCTTAAGAAAAGGCTTAAACTAGAGGACAATCCTGTCATGTGTATACAATCAACTTTGAGGTAAAACCATCAGTCTGTGTGAACCTCTATAATCAGGCAGAATCGGAAATGCTAAACAAAATGTTCTGTGGGGTATTCATGTTCATATCCATTGTAATCATAGTACAATCTTTCTCCTTTTCTTATATCCCTGTTAGCAATCAGCAAAACTCGACACTCCCCATTCACATTATACCTCACGCATTTTAGATTTTGCTTCTTCCTCCCATCCCTGCATTCAGATACACACCATTTTCATGTCACACAATTTATTTGGTGCATACCAACCAGCTAAACAACGAGAAAGATGTAGAAGATGAACTTACGGTGAGAAGTTGTTGATGCCATTAACAAAGCGGGCAATGTTGCCACGCTTGTCAGGGCAAATAACAAGGCTTTTCAAAGGATTGAACGCGTGAAGGAGGGTCATCATGCTATCCCCATCATCATTTTCACGGTTCTTTAAGTAATCCACATCTCCAACATATTCTGTAATAATGGTTAAATCCTTTATATATCTATCAGCCTGTACAGTGAAACTGTCAAAAACCAAACATCAAACGCTAGCTCAACATTTAAATGAACTCAATAGAATAACAATTCATAAGCTGACGACATTTTACTTACCCTTCAACAGGATCAAAAACAACCATGAGAGGAGGACATTCCCCTTTTTCCATCATCCTTTTGCACAAGTTTAATGTCTCTATATCTTCTTTGGGCAGAACCTGACAATGCAATTGACCATATTAACCCACAATAAAAAGGAGTGCTGGAGTTTCAGTAACAAGAAGCACACATGGCCTACAAGGCACCTAAACGATCACACCTCCTGAAAATTCAAATTCAAATATAATTTCGATATTTTCTTTGTATTTTCTATTGATTATTTAATTTCACCAATCTTGAAATTTTGTAATTTTACAATCCCTAAATTTTTAATACAATTTCTTAAGTTCATACATCCAACATAAAATCTTACATCGGGTATGCTATAATTCTTTAATACACTTTTCATGATCACAAATATTATTAACTTTCTAAAAGAATTAATTACCTGCATTCCTCCCTTCTCAAGAGCTGCACAATTAGCTGACCTTAGAGCCATGCTGGGCCTATAGGTGAGCTCATTACTGTACTCAGTTCCAGAAGCTTTCAGTGCAGTTGCCAATGAGGCCATTTGTTCCAACCTCCTTTCTGGGTCTTCCGTTGGATTATACGCCAACAATTTCCTTTTCCTTTTTGAAAAGGCTAAACTACAAGCTCTTTTTCTCTTTTTGATGTTCCCTAAAGAGCCCATTTGAAAAAAAATAAAAAAAATTACACTCATTTATCTCAATCTGTCAAATAATTTTATAATGTTTTGAAATAATGGAGTCGAAAAATCAAATGGTGGATTAGTTTCACTTACCTTTTTCTTGATTTTCTATTGCATCGGACGACCTTTGAATCCGGAAGAAATCAACAATTTTGGTTTGAACCAATGGAAACACTGCATACAGTGAAAGACTCCGATAAGTAAGGGAAATTGGGAGAAATGAAAATACAAATGACCCAACACTAGCATCTTTACTTAGTTCAAAACAAGTTCATCATTTTAAATAACTTTATGACCCAGAGATTTAGTAAGAAACAGCAAAGCATAGTGAAATAACTGATTTCAACATCATTCTAGCATCCAAAGCGATTAATTCCAGAAGCTAGAACCCATCCTTTGAGTTCAACCAAAGATGCATCAACTAATGTACAAAATAAACACCAAAAATATACCTATTATAAGCGATTAAATACCAGATTAATGGAAAAGAAACCGTACATTGGGGCGTCTTAATGTTGGTGCAGACGGGACAAAACCAGGAACCTTTAGGAACAGAAACAAGAATGGGTCTAAGGCAAAAGAGATGATACCCCTTGTCGCACTTATCGCACAACAAAAGCTTCGATCCAAAATCACCAGACCCGCATCTCTCGCAGCGAACATCGTCGTCATCCTTGGAATAGCGCTTCGGAGCTCGGGTTCTACGCCTTAGAACCATCGCTGCCATTGATGAGCAAAGGCAATGGAGGCGAAGGAAAACAATTAACAGATAATTCAGGGATCTTTCATTTTTGGGCGGCGGATTATAAGGGGAAGAACCATGTACGTATTTTGGCGCGCTGTATTTTGGTTTCGCGGTAAAAGCTTACGCGCCATGTTTTGGATTTGGGAGGTGAAACCGCTTCTTTCCATGAATAAGTTGGGGTGGGATAATGTGTAACCAGGTGTATTATAAACGAGTAGACCTTTCATGATATTAACCCTTCATTTTGACACAATGCGACGCACCTGTACAGTCATCATGGGCCATTTTAAGCCCAAAAATAGAAATGTTTATTCAAATTTATTTAATGTGGGCTGGGACCAACTAGAATACTACTACTATATTTTACTATTTAAAAAATAATACAAATATTTAGTGGAGTTAATTCGGTTAATTCAATCACCGATCGAATCAAATAATCATTAACCAAATCAATCAAAATTTTTCTTTAACTTTTAATCAAACCAAACCTTTTTAAAAATATTTTAACCGAATCGAAATAAAACAAAGTTTTGTTAATTTCGTCGATTAACCGAATTAATCAAAATTTATAAATAAAATATAGTATATGTTTAATATTTACAATTAATTTGGTTAATTCAGTCGTTTAATTCAGTTAAAACCGAGTTTTAAACACCCTAAAACTAAATAATATATATAATGTATTAAATATTTAATAATTTTGTTGAATTCGGTTAATTAATCTATTTTGAACCGAATTAACTAAAGTTTGAAAAAACTATTAATTGTTAAGTGACCGAATCTAAAATTAATCGATCGAGTAACCCTAAAAAATTTGGTCCGATCGGATAATTTGACTTTAACTGAATTATAAAGAGCCCTACAAATATTTTCATTGAATTAATTACAATAATTTTTTAATTATAACACCGTACTTAATTAAAGATTTTTTTTTATAAAAAAATCATTACCAAGAATCATACATAACTAATACCCAAGACATCAAAGGGATGGAGCAAAGGATTAATGTCTCGAATTATTGTAAAAATGATAGCTAACTTTGATTTCACATAAAATTTAAATTCTCCTTCAATTGTGTGTATGTATGTGTATATATATATATATATATATATATTCATTTTTATTCAATTTTATATATTTTATAAATATATAAATCCAATCTTTCTATATATTTTCTTAAAAAAAAACTATCCGCATTCCTTCTCATCCACCTATAAATAGGAAAATCTTTTTATTTTTGTATTTATTTCTTGTAGTGTTTTAGAATAGTTTAGTTTAGTTTGTAAATTGTACAAGCATATTTTCTTGTGAGAATTCCATAATTTGCTATTTGTATATTCCTCAGAGAGAGTTATTTTAAGACTTTGAGGTATAAGTCTCGAGAGAATTGTAAGATTACGCATCATCTTCAAAGATAGAATAAATTAATAAATTTGTGAAAATTATCAGCGTGGACAATTAAGATAATGGATGTAAATTTCATTAAGAAAGTTGAATCACTCTAAATGATTACTTCTATTTTTATCTAAACTTCCATAAAATTTTAATTTGTTAATCCACCCCTCTAGATTATTTTCATTGATCAGTTAACTTAATAGTTAGGTTCTGTTTTGAGGTAATTAACAGTATAAAAAATGGATTTTTGAGTTGAAATAATGTTGCTGTAAAAAAATATTACTTTAGTAAATCTAAATGAATTAAAAAAATTTATTAAAACAATATATTTTTAAGTAATTCATTTAGATCTAAAAAAAAGCTTGATGACGATTTTGTATTTTTTATTTCATCAATGGATCCAGTCACCTCAAAACTATTGTGGTAACTTGACGATTCTTTTGAGAACAGTAAGAATCTCAAAAATTATTAAGACAATCTAATTTAACTCTAAAAATGACAGAGATAAACACGATCAAAAATATTATAAAAAAGTATAACATTTTAATTACCTAAAATGTTATGTTTTTAATAACCTTTATAGTCGCGCCCATTTCCGCATTCTTCTAGCTTTAAATTATTAGGTTATACCATAGAACTATTCTAACCTAACAGTTAAAGATTTATATAAAACCTCTTCGTTTTACATTGGTGTATGTGAATCTCTTATTATTATTATTATTATTATAAAAATGAAAGCAAAATAAGTGATTGGCCTAGGTTTGAAAAGCTTCATTTCCTAGAAATGTGAGGATGTCTTCGTCATCAGAAATTACAAAAATTTATATTAAAGAAGAATGATACATTTGGGATTGGTCTTCACTAAAATCCAAACATTGCTATAAAGAATCTTTCATATATGTATACCTAAGAATAAGAATGTGGAATTGAATTCATAATGTTATTCATTTACTCTCAACATGTTTGTTTGGGGCTAACTTCTATAATTTCATGATAGTTCTTGTCATATTTCTTTATAAAAAATAAAAAAAATTGGAAGATGTTTAAATCTAATTAATGTAAAATATTGAAAAGATTTTCTTTAATATGTTTAAATTTCATTTTTTTTGAAAGGTAGAGATTTATTGATTAAGAATAAGGGGTTGAATAGGACACTAACGTTGACAATAGTCTCGTTAAAAAGCTTCCCTAATCCTAATAGGAGGAAAAAGTGTAATTGTCAACGCCAATACAAATAAGCATGGTCATAAAGAGCTTAAGTAGCCATAACACTACAACCAGATAATAACCACGAACAACAATCACCTAGGAAGCAGCTCTGGGCAAGGCAGAAACACCAAGACCAAAGCAGAACCACGATATAAAACATTACAAAAATACTCCAGAACCAAGAATTAAGCAAAGAAGAAACTAACTCAAGCATCCACGACACAAGCACACCAATACTGAAACATAATGCATAAGAAGCAGAAACAAAGTCAGCCAATAATGGACTTGGCTAAATGAATCGGCTAGGCCATTGCAATCTCTCGGTATAGCTTGAATTTCCCAAAGATTGTTGCTGCAGAACTGATAACAGAGATGGACTTCAGCCGAAAAGCATGATGGGACAATATGAGGGGAGCTGATCCATTGAATTGCTAGACTACTATCGGATTCGGTGATCAAACAGTGAGAAGGGAACCATGCAAAATTCAAGAAGAAATTACATGCTTCCAATAACACCACACAAAGCCTTCTTTCCCAGTGAACTACCCACCTACGGACAGAGCAAGACTTGTCGAATCGGGCGTAAAAGAATTACCACCCGACTTTAATGAATTGGCAGAAAAAGAGAAAGTAAATAGCGAGCTCACCCAACAGATTAAGAATCTAGAGGAAATGGTAAGGTCAACAGAGGTAATTGAGCCATTTCGTGGGATGGAATTTAGGGAACAAAGCCTAGTTCTTGACCTTATCTTTCCACATAAGTTCAAGGTGCCGAACTTCGAAAAGTATGATGGGACCACCTGTCCATCTGCCCACCTCACCATGTATTGTAGAAGGATGACTGGCTATACCAAAATGAGAAGTTATTGATACACTGTTTCCAAGATAGCTTGTCTAGATTTGCTGCGAAGTGGTACAACCAGATAACCAAAACCCATGTCAAATCAAGGAGGGATTTAGCCAAAGCATTTTTGGAACAATACCGCCATGTTACTAATTTGGTCCCTAACCGATGAACTTTGTAGAATATGAAAAATGACATAATGAAACTTTTAGCCAGTAGGCCTAGAGGTGGCGTGATGTAGCCGCACAGATGCAGCCCCCACTACTGAAAAGGAAGCCACCATTATATTTGTTAACACCTTGAAGGCTCCGTATCTCGGACATCTGTTAGGAAATGCCACCAAGAATTTTGTTGATCTAATCATTTCGGGTGAATTAATTGAAAATGCCATAAAGAGTGGTAAGATCGAGGGTGGAGAAGGGTCTAAGAAGCCCTATTTTAAGAAGAAAAAGAATAAGGTGAATCATACGAACAATTACAACAAAAACGCCATAGCTAGTGTTACGATCACTCAGCTTAGGGCAGAGAATATGAACACTAATGAGAATAGAGAGCCAAAGAAAGAGGCTACGAGGATGACCTTCTCACCTGTGCCAATATCGTATTATGAAATATATGCCACGTTGTTGAAAGCAAACGTAGTACGCCCCTACAAGTTGACTCCACTCCAACGGCCTTACCCTCGTTGGTATAATGTCAGCGCTCACTATAAGTATCACTCAGGGATTACCAACCATGATATCGAGAATTGTCTGGCGTTCAAGAAGATTGTGTAAAATTTGAACAACACATGATACTTAGAATTCAAAGCACCTTCAGCAAACACTCATCCCTTTCCCAATCACGGGGAGCAAGGAGTAAATATGATTGGCAAAGAGAAAAATAGGATGTTGAAGAAAGATGTGTCAGAAATCAATTCTCCTCTTAGTTGGGTGTTTGAACGACTATGTAAAGATGGGATGATCAAGGGTAATCTCGAGCCGAAGCCTATTGGGTGTAAATCGTATTGTGATTATCACCAAAAAGAGGGTCATGACATTCAATGTTTCCATGAATTCCGAGAATTACTTCAGGAAATGATGAACAATGGTGAAATAGAATTCTTTGATCAAGTGGAGTGTAGAAGAAAAATGGATGTTTGTATGGTGGATAGCTCTAACAAGACACGAGGAACAAGAAAACTTGTGATCATTACAGTCAAGCCTAGAAACAAGAGCTTATCATCAATGACTTCTAAAGTCGTGATTACAACTCCGTCTCCTTTCCCATTTAAAGACACACGACAGGTTTCTTGGAATTATACCGCAAATGTGTCCCTGCCAGGAGGTTTGAGATCCTCTGAGAGAATAGAGGAAGAGAATAAATCAATCACTGAAGAGGTGAGTGAAGTAGGCCACTTCATGAAGAGTGGAAGATGTTACTCATCTGAGACATCCATAAAGGCAAACAAGGCGAAATCCAAAGCCAAGGCAGTAATAGTGCTAAAAATCTTTAACAAGGAACCTCCACCTGAAATTAATGAGCCAGTGACTGAGGCTCGTGAATTCCT